CAGAATACCGCGCATGCCCAGGGAAAAGGTTAGAGTCATTGTTTTCCTGTTTTTCTGGTGTTCAGCAAGTTAAGGTTTGTTTTAACTTATTGAAAGATTTACGCCAAGAGAATGGAAAGTTCCATTCTTTTAGAAGGAGTTTCGAATAATTTCTCTAAACGGCGTCAGAATGGCTTTATTTTTCTATTTTTTTAGGAGAGACAACGGTTTCGAATAACTTCTCTGAACGGCGTCAGAATGGCTTTAAAATCGACACAAGAGACAAGTACGCGACACAATTGAGATAGGAAAGCTATATTTCAAATGAGATAGTTATTTACACAATCTTTTTTACGACCGGTGATTTTCACATACAATTCTCTATATACACAGGCTGTCGCATACACAACGTATTTTGAGCTTGGGAAGCCTGTGGAAAAATAAAAGTGAAAAAATGCGATTCGTATGCCTCCGCCCAGAAAGTGACAAAATAAATTATTAATCATCCTCCTTTCCAACGGGTCTCTTTGCTAGCGCCCTATTTAAATTTACCATGATTAACAATTCAACTAGTTTTAACGAACGTTCCAAGTGTGGTGCTAATCATCCCGCTCAGGACTGAGGGCAGTAGCTGTTCAGCTTCGTGTATGATGTTTTCATTGTATTAAAAGGCACCTCATCAAGTTATTTTCCCGGTCTATTGTTCCTTTGATCCTCTGCTTGTTGCAACTGTACTGGACTTAGAATTAAAGTTGGCAGCGATTTCATCGAAAATCTCCTTTTTAACCCAGAGATTGCGTAAGCAATCTGTAGGGTTTTAGTGGTGGAACAGATTATGCAAATGATATGCAAATGACGCCCTTCCATCATCTGTAAACTTTTTGGAGTAATTAAGCTGACCAGAAGATAAAGCTCCTGAAATCACATATTAGTCAACATTGCAGGCACGTGTATCGTTTTACATTACTAGGTCTAGCTGCGACTGTTGCACTAAAAACGGAAACTTATTTTGTTTGCTTTCTGGGTATAGTTCATTAAACATTACTAATACAATTCTAATCTTAAATTAACAGTTAACTCTAAATAAGACCAAATGTTGGCTTGTTTAATACGCATTGGGAACGTTTTTGATGACAAAGATGAAATTGCTGGAAGCTGCCATTGTAAATTTCCGCTCCGAAGTTTGACGTTTAGTAAAGATTGACAAGAGGCAATCCTCTCTACTTAGTATTGATGGTACTACTACTGAAGGGTTTAGCTCCTGAAATTAAATTTCGGAAATCAAAGCGAACAGTTTCGCTGAGGCCACCGTAACATTTGTCGAAAAAGTCTTTAATAAAGAACACCGAGGTCTTACGAGCCTCTAAAAGGCTCATGATTACGCCAGATTCTAAGTTTCAACCGCGGGCGTGGAATCCACCGCGAGAAAATCCCGCTCAGTCTTGAGGACAAACTTACATAAGTCGCATTGGAAGACGAATCCCGCATAGCGAAAGCGAGGACAAATGGATAGAACTTCACGAACTGAAATGATATCAGAGTATTAAAATTTTTCTCACTGACAAAACTTTTTGGGCTTGTTCAAGCTAATACACTTTGACACTTGAATAGGCTGATGTAGGAGATTTAATCAATAAATTTTAATCAAATTTATTCGCGCTACAATTGTACGGTGAATTTAACTGAAAAAAGGACAAATAGGACTCCTCTGTTCTCTATGTACTAGCCACATAAATGCGAAAAGCTCTACATGTCTATTTATAACAGATTTAACCTTCGTAACACGATCGCATGCGTAGAGTTTGATTTTAAGGGAATTTGAATCGTCAAAAAGTTGATTCGCGCCACAATTGTACGGCGAATTTAACTTTTACTATGGTTAGCACCCAGGATCCAATCTAGTAGACCCGAGTTAGATTCCGAGATTCGTCATCTTTTTCTCCGTTTTTTTTTTTTTTTTTTTTTCCAAGCAACTGGTCTTTTTCTTTTCTTGTTCAACCCTTTAATAATAATAATAATAATAATAATAATAATAACAATAACAATAACGATAACGATGATAATAATAATAATAATAATAATAATAATAATAATAATAATAATAAGTAATGGTAATAGGACTGAGTGGAGTCCAATTCGGTCTGTTATCATAAGAGTGATAACAAAATCGGACGACCAATACGAGTATGATTACAGACCGAATTGGACGATACGAAGTCTCATTACCAATTAATCATAAAAATTACAATTTCCGAGAAAAGAAGAATGGCCAAGTCATGAAAGAAAGGGAAAGTTTGCATTAAAATACCTACAAAGGAGATGTAAACATTCTAAGGCAACCGCGCCTCCTACCGGCAATTAGGCGCCAAAAACAGAAAAGCAAGCGCGCACGCACGTAACTACAACTTTGAATGTGATTGGCTTATTGAACTATCCGATAACAACTTGGCAAGTAAATTAGTGGAAAATAGGAGCTTTTTAAACCAATCATAATCGAGGAAATTGTTACTTTTATGAATAATAATAATAATAACAATAATAATAAACGAAATTTTAAACAGGACTAACCCATCAGCACTTGAAAGTACTGTTATCATAAGGGTCCTGTAAGATTTTAAAAATCAAAAAGGTAAAAATACAAAAATTTTTAAAATTTAAAAGACAAAAGTACAAGGGAAAAACATATAAAAGCTTACGAATATGAATTACGAATAAAAATGTTCGTTGGCCTTTTGCCTCAATAAAAGCCTTGAGTTCAGATTTCCCATGTCCGACGGTAAACTGTTAAAAACTGAGGCTCCTAAAAACGAAAGACTCCGACGGCCAAACTCCAGCTTCATTTTCGGCAGATCGATTAAGGAAAATCTATTCCTTGTGTTGAAACTCTGACTAACCCTTGTAACATAGTTCTTAAAAAAGGCGTACATACATTTCCAGTTAGACAATCAAAAACACTCAGACAGACTTTTCTCTTCAAATAACTGTCAACTGATGGAATACGAATATCAGTCTTGTTTTCCAGTCCTGAAGATATGCAGCTTAAACCACGATGTTCGAGATTGGGAATTAGTTGCCAGAGTGTATTTGAATAGCTTAATGTAATTAAACTACAATAGGTAAAAAAAGGCATAATCATAGCCCTGTAAATGCTTTCTACAGCTGCACAAGTAATGGAAGAACAAATTTTCCGCAGTAGAGTGACTCTCCCGCCCGCTTTCTTGTAGTTTTTGTTGAAATGGGTTTCAAAATTCAATGTAGGATCTAAATGGACACCCAAGTACTTGTAGGTTGTTGTGCTGTTTATAGGTAATCCATTTGCCGTCAGATTGAGCTGTTTACCTTGGAGACGACTCAACCTTTTTGCAGTTCCGAAGATCATCGTTTCTTTCTTCCCTTTCTTGAGATTTATGAGCAGGTCATTCTTGCGAAACCAAGTTGCTAGATTGTTGATGTCATCATTTAGATTCCTTTCGATAACGTCAAGATTGCTTGAAGAAGTAAAGATTACTGTGTCGTCGGCATACGTAATAATTCTGGATGATTGAAGAGGCTTGTGAACGTCATTAAAATAAATAATGAACAGCAGCGGCCCAAGAGTGCTTCCTTGTGGAACCCCAGTAAAAACGGGGTTGGGTTCTGAAAGAACACCGTTTTATTGAACAGTCTGCTTTCGTATAAACAGGTAATCTGTGAACCACTTTAGCTCATTGTCACAAATCCCATAAAGGGACAGTTTGCTAAATGGGCCTGAATGACTAATGATGTCAAAAGCCTTGGACATATCAATAAAAACTGCTCCCAATACTTTGCCATTATCAGCTTCTTTCCTTATTAAGTCTGTAAAGTATGTAACAGCTAGATCAGTAGATTGTTTTGGACGAAAACCAAATTGATGATCAGAAAGGAGGTTTGGTGAAGAACATCCGTCCACACTACGCCGGAGGAATTTGAAACGCAGCACTCACCGGTCATTTTTGGAAAAATGTCAGCTCTCGCGGAAACCATTATATGTTTATTTATAGCAGATTTTTAAAATACCCTAATCCCCTAATACCCTAGCACCCGAAAACCCTAATACCCTAAAACCTTAACACCCTAACAGCCTAATTCCCTAATGCCCTATTATCCTAACACCCTAATACCCTAATGACCCAAGACCTAAGACCCTAACACCCTAGAAGTCTATTACCCTAATAGCCTAATAGCCTAATAGCCTAATACCCCAAAACCGTAATAACCTCACACCCTAATAACCTAACACCCTAAAACAGTTATACCCTTATACCCTAACACCCTAACATCCTAATACCCTAATACTCTAGTACCCTCACACCCTGCTAGCCTAATACCCTTATACCCTAAGACCTTAACACCCTAACACCCCAATACACTAATACATTAAGACTCTAACACCCTTGCACCCTAATACTCTAATACCCCAATACCCTAATGCCCTAATACTCTTATTCCCTAACACACTAATACCGTTATACCCTAACACCCTAATACCCAAATACTCTAACACCCTAAGACCCAAGTACCGTGATACCCTAGTACATCAATACCCTAATAACCTAATACCCTAATACCCTTGTACCCTTATACCTTAACAGCCTTACACCTTAGTACCCTAATAATCAAATACCCTAATGCCCTAATATACTTATTCCCTAACACACTAATACCCTAATACCCTCACACCCTAATATCCTACTACATTAATACTGAAAAGCTATTACTATTACGTCGCAAAATGTAAGAACTAGCGGAAAAAGGAAAATGAACGCGACGTTTTCATAAAATAGAAGCATTCTTATGAAAGAAATATGTTGTATATTTGATGTTGTAATGTTGTGGAACTTTTAAACCATTGTCGTTGTTACTTCTTATAGACTCTTTTTATGGCGTGCCATTAACAACCCTTTTTCAATATAATTCACGTTTGTGAGGAAGGGTAGTGATTCGCTTTTGAATATTGTATGTGTTTCGTCGGTGTAGATCATGATAATTTTCAAATAATGTTTCTAGTTATTATTGTTCTTGCTGTATTTGTACCTGAAACAAATAAAAGACTACATAACAAAACAAGAATCGCTATTCTGAGTATACCACGACTTCCAAAGAGAAATCCCTATAAAATACATAAGCTCAATAATCACCATTTCAACCATCATTCAGAGAGTCGAACTACTCATAAAACACAGTGATACATTTACGATGGTTTACATCAGTTTACACGGGCACAGGAAAAGGGGATCTTCTCCTTTACAACTGGTATGTTCACAAAATAAACACCATCAATTGCATGTTACCTATACCACTGAAAGCAAACGCACAATACATGTAACAATGGCGGACATTTAAAAGAGGTCTACATTTTAGATGTCAGTGCTTCTTTAAGCTCCAGTTTAGCCACTGCCTCCAGGTGAACCTCATCTGGTCCATCCGCAATGCGTAGGCAACGTGCTTGAGAGTAGAAATTGGCCAGCGGAGTATCTTGACATACGCCCTTCCCACCATGCACCTGGATCGCACGGTCAATTACATCACAAGCCATGCGAGGAACAGCGATCTTTGCAATAGCAATCTGAAAGAATCACGGCAGGTAAATGTTAGATCTCTTCACAATATAACCGTTTGTTAAAAACATTTTCTTAATCGTTGTCCCGTATTACACAACGTCCGAATCAGCTGTCAGGCATTGTCGCGTTATAAAATGTTTTTTTGCCTAGAAACACTCATACAGAGGAACCAGGCTTTAAGGGCACCTGCTTAAAGGAGTTCAGTCACGGTGTTTTGTCTTTTTTTTGGCCACGTACAAAATTTCTTTTAAATGGAAGGAAACCTGAAAATAATAGTTTACTACGACAGAAAAACATCAAAGAGATAATAATAAACCATAACGGAACAAGGATGGTCAAGGATGGCAAAGATTGACACGGATTGCAAACGACGAATTTGAAAAATTTAGGCTAAACTTTTCAAAATGTGCAAACCATGACTGAGCTCCTTTAATACGGACATCAGTTATCTTGTGCAGCGTAGATGCCACGATCACGTGCTAATCGTTAACGTGCTTTTATCACTAAATACACCGAGAGAAGCAATAACGTGACATGGTTATCAACGTCTTTCTTCTGACGTTTGACCCTTGTAGCCTTTGGTATGAGACATATGACTATTTGAATGAGGGTTAGCCGGCTTCTTGAACTAACGTTCCAGCAAGACATTCCACATCGTTTTAGTTGCTATGAATTTTATGCTTTTGTATTTCTATAAATAAAACATGTGAAATTAACAATTATTCTGGACAACAGCCCGCTTAATGTGGAGACCCCGGTAATATGGACACCTTTGCGTGTTCCTTTGGTGTCCGTATAAACCAGGTTCCAATATTTTACCATATGCATGTGATATACATGTCGTGATATACATATCATGTGCATGTTTACTGATTTGTGGGGTTGGCGTTTCCATTGGTGTTGATGTTTCCAGTGGTTTTGTTGATAAATCAAACTGCTCCCTGACAACCGTGCAAAACGAGTTGGCACAGCTGCTCATGACCAGAATATTGCACCAAAATCACTGTCAGACGGCAATAGCATGAGCAGGCAGTTATTTGCATATCACGTGGTAGCCATCGGGCAAGCCCGAAAAGAACGACAAATTGTATTGATTGATAATTGTCATTAAAATCGTTTTTATCTCGTGAATGCGAAGCAATGGTGAGTTCGAGCAGTTTGGTCGGAAAATATTGTATCACTGCCTTATCGAATTTTCCTGAAACTTATTGTGATGCACTAATAGTAGGGGGGATTAGAAATATCACAATTTTTTTAACGAGAGCCTCATCATTTATTTCTGAATTTTCTCCACAAATCCACTGTAAGGGAATAAATTATGACGTAGAGATCACCACAATGAGAACTTGTCTCCACAATCGTGTCGAGTTGTCGGGAAAATTAGAAAAGCTAAAAATGAATCAAGTTTCTCACTAAAGCAAGAAACCTAACTATCACCAAACTCTGTCTGATAGATGAAGAGTGACCCTATTACCTAAATGTTGTCGGAAAAATCATAAAGGTATATTGTAAAATCAGAATTCATCCAAAATCGTATTCTTCAATTTTTTTAAGTGTCTAAATGTAGCTCTCGCGCTCAAATGATCAATTTTAATCACCTAATGTACCGAATGATTGCTTCGACAGCTTTCAACCGAAACGCCTCGCAAAACTATCTGCGTGGTTTCTCTTGATTTTCAGATCAGAGAGAACCGTATGAATCAAAGTCGTCAGCGCCTTTATCTCATCTGATATATGGCCTTCTAGTCCTGATATAGTCCTACTTATATAAACATCCTCACCTGTTTTCGTGCAGCCTTGTTGCCAAGCGTATCAATGATATGTGCAGCTTTAAGAACTAACAATCTAGCCTGCTCGATTTCTATCCTGGAAAGAGCAATTTGTTGCTGAACCATACCCTAACACAAGAGGTAACAGATTATGAAATCTGGATAATGGACTAGGTTATATTCAATTCTGATCTTCAGGATTTATGTATTTTGGTTTCCTCGTCAACACTTAACAGTATCAAAAAGAGATTTAACCCTATCAATCAATCAATCAATCAATCAATCGGATCGATCGATCGAAGATCCGTCCGTCCGCCAATCAATCAGTCAATTAATCAATTAATGAACTAACTAATAAAATACAGAAACCAAATACTTAATAAAAAACAAAGTCAAAAATTCTAAAATTCTAAAAATGCTTATTTTATGGTCACTGAGTTAAGACTATTCAGAGAGACGTTTCCCAAACATCTAAGCCCTTTTTTACAATAACTGAGTAATTTCTCGCGCACTGATTGGCTCATTTTTATCATCAATAGGAGTACAGACGGATAAAATTTTCATTTACGCAAGCTTTCAAGTTCAATTTTCAGCTGTCAAACTGTCAACATTTTATCCGATGAGATTCTAAGGACTTTTTTAAGTAGCCAATCAAAAAGCGAGACTGAGCTATTGACAATGTTGACGTCATTTTGAATAAAATCCACTATCTTAGTTTACGGCAAGTTTACGGCGTCTTTTCCCGTCATTTATTCCCGGCATTTGACCATTTTGGGGTCTTGTTATTGTAAAAAACGAATTGACGTCAATTTTTTATGCGTCTGTCCTCTTATTGATGATAAATTGGGTCATAACATTGTCAAAGTTTACTGCGGAACCACTCCCCTGCGGCTCGTGGTTCCGCAGCTACTTTGACAATGTCATGACGCAATTTATCATCAATCACAGGACAGACGCATAAAAACTGACGTCAATTTGTTAAAGTACAATAGGTTTGCGACGATGCAAGACTAGAAATGCAAAATTAGAACAAAATAGGACTTTCTGACCTTTTCTGCAAGACGTTTTCCAAAGGCCACTCTATCTAAAGAACGTTGGATCATAAGCTCAAGAGATCGCTCTGCCAAGCCAATCAAACGCATACAATGGTGAATACGTCCTGGGCCCAAACGACCCTGAGCTATTTCAAATCCTCGTCCTTCCCCTAGAACAAAGCACAAAGGAAATTACATCACGTACAACACCCTATTCACCACCAGCCCAATATGCAAACAGGCATCACCAAAGTTTTCTTTTTTGTTTTCCTGGATCGTGTACGTGATTTACAATGTAGTTCAATAAATACTTGATCTGACTGGTCAGCAAAATAAATGCACACAGGAACACATAACCAAAACTGATTTTGTTGTTTGAA